CCCCCTGTAAATCCCCCCTACATACCCACACCCATCCACCCACCTACCCTGCAAGAAAAAAAAGGAGGTAAATGTACACATGCTGATCCAGAAAGGTGTCCAGGATAGATTGTGCAATTAAGAAAATCATTTCAAAACTCAGGGTAGATAACTGTGTTCCTACCTGCACACACACAGTGAAATGTGTTTGCATGTGTCTAATTTAAGAAGCTGGTTTACAAATGGTTACCTACTGGGAGAATACTTCCTTCTTTCCTTTTGGATTTTGTGATGTTTCTTTGACACTTGTTTTTTTTTTTTTTAAGATTTATTTATTTGTGCACACAGAACTGGGGTACAGGCCAGAGGCGCAGGGACAGTGAGAGGCTTCACCAGAGACAGAGCGGGGAGCAGGACAGGCAGACAGACGGGGTACACTGCTGAGGGGGGCCGCGGGCGGGTCAGGAGAGGTCTGCCGCGCCCTGGGGGTCAGCTCCCTGGTCGGGAACTCACTGCAGTGGCTCTAGCTTCTTAGTGCTGTACCTTAACCGGCTGCGCCACCAGGGAGGGCCTTACTTGGACATTTTTTTAATTTAAAAAGGTGGATGAATTAGACAGCCGTTGTTAGTGAGCTCACGATGAGACGACACGTCTCAAGCCCACAGTGCTGCGCCATCTCAGTGGCACCGCCAGGCTCACTGCATCTAGGCAGGTGCTTCCGGGGCCCCAGGTCCTGGCCCCTCCCTGCGACGGCGGCATTTACCGTTTCCAGTCGCACCTAGTTCTCTACACATCACACCCCAATCGAGGGAATGAGCGGGGCGGAGGGACCCTGCACTTGGGGGCTGACTGCCGACCGGATGGGTGGGATGTGGGGCGGAGGGGTTGGGGCCGGCTGGACAAGCGCCCTGGGCCCGGGTCCCCTCTGCCTTCGCCCACTCCTTCTCGGGCTCAGATTTCCGTTGAGGAGCGCCTGTCAGGAGGGGGTGTTGAGAGCTCCGAAGCTCAGGCTCCACAGTGCTGCTGGGGCTGCCCTGGGCTCAACCCATCCATCTTTCCCTCCTCTTGCATGAGGTGTCCAAGGCCCAGATCCTTCCTCGGCCCAGCCCCCCACCTCATGAAACCCTCTGGGACCCACATGACTCTGCCTCACCAGAGGCGGGACGACTGAGCCGGGGCAGTCACACCTGTGTGGAAGCAGCCAAGGAGAGACACACTCATGTGCAGTGACCTCAGAATTTTTATTGACCTGTTCCCCCAAGGGCGCCCCACTTCTCAGTGCTTCACGACTTTGGTGTCACTGACCTCAGACACCACTCTGCCATCCACAATCTTGCGGGTGGTGGTCTTGTGGATGGTCTGCATGGAGTTGCTGATGTCCAGGGCGTCGCTGAGTCTGTAACAGAAGGCCACGCCTCAGTTATAAACAGCCCCTCAGTGCAGAAGGGAGACCTGCAGGAATCAGGCCTTGCAATGCCTTCCTTTATGTCTAAATCCCCTTTGGTCGCTTCCTCCATAACCAAAACCCCAGACCAAGCCCCATTTGCGCCGTACAGGCTCAAGGGCATGCTTATAGTTAATGCATTCTCTTCTCTAGGAGGTAACTCCTGCAAATGTCACTCGCTTGGAGACACAGGGGTGTAACAAAGCGCCAGTCCACTGCTCAGCCTGTACCAAAGACAAGGCACAGGTGGGCGGGCTCCCCACAACTCAGGTGTCAGGGAGGGGTGAGGTCTTGACCACCGCTTGTGCTGGAGGAAGAGTCACTTACTTGAAGTCCTCCCCATCTTCAAGCAGGCGGCGGTAATTACTGATCTCAGCCTCCAGCTTGACCTTGATGTTCAGCAGCGACTCATACTCCTGCGCCTGGCGCTGCCCCTCCGCCCGGATCTGGGCCAGCTCCGACTCCAGGTGCATCAGGATCCTGTTGAGCTGCTCCATGCGGAGGGCGTAGTGGGCCTGCACCTCTCTCAGGCTGTTCTCCAGGCCGGCCTTCTGTGGGCCACAGAGAAGAGGGGTGGTGAGCCCCGCGAGAGAGGAGAGGGGCCTGCACCCCTGGGAGAGCATCCAGCACACACACCTGCTCACTTCCGTACTCCTGGAAGCTCTCCTGAGCGCCTACTGTGTTCCGTGCCGGTGGGGGGGGGGTAGGAGCAGTGGGGAGTGCTGGTGGGCTCAGGGAAATGACTCTCTCAAGCGGAAGGAGCTGGTGAGGGAGGGGCGGGACTTGGGCTGAGACTGGCAGCGGCCAGGGGCCAAAGGAGGTGGGCAGGGAAGTGGGGCTCTCACCTGGTTTCCCATGGATTCCAGCTCGATCTCCAGGGACTGGAGGGTGCGTCTCAGCTCCGTGAGGTTGGCCTGTGCGTCATCCAGCTCAGTGCTCTGCATGGTGACCACTGTGGTGCTCTCCTCGATCTGTAGGGAGGGGCGGTCACTAGCTGCCCTTCCGTGCGCCTCCACCCGCACCCTTGGGCCTCAGGGCCCGGCTGGCCTGCAGCCCTGCCTTCGTGCACCTGGTGAGTCCAGTGCTTTTCCAGCTCCTCTTGGTTCTTCCGAGCCAGCTCATCATACTGGGCCCGGATGTCTGCCATGACCTTGCTGAGGTCCTGAGGCTTGGGGGCGTCAACCTCCACAGTCAACCCAGAGTTGGCAATCTGGGCTTGCAGACCCTTGACTTCCTGCAGCAGGGAGGCACAAAAGGAGAGAGGAGGGCTTGAGGGGGTGGCTGCGGGAAGGCTCACCCCACTTCTAGGAGGCCGACAGGATCAGCTGGAAAACAGCTTTTTGCTCTGGGTAGTGCCAGTTCTGGGCTCTCTCCTCCACAGGGGTGAAGTCAGGGGCCTCTCTCCTCACTCTGCCCTGTCCCTCTTTCAACTCTCCCTACACGAACCTGTTCCACACTGTACCTGCTCCCAGCAGGCCCTGCCTTCTCCATGGCCTCAGCCCCCACCACTCCTCACTGCTCACCTGGCCGCCTCTACCTTCGTCCCCAACTCATGTTTTCTCACCCCGTCTTCTCAGCCTCCGCCTGCGGTCACTCAGATGACTCCCCGAGAGTGCCAACCGTCTGCCCGAGAACAGCCGGGCTGTCTAAACCCTCCTGCGAGCGAGGCTACGTGTGGGCAGGCCTGCCTGCCCATCTCTGCTCCCACCCAGGCTTGTCTGGGAGCCCTGGTGGCTGCCTGGCCGGGGCCCCTGCTCGCCTCCTCGTGGTTCTTCTTCATGGAGAGCAGCTCCTCCTTAAGGGTCTCGATCTCCGTCTCCAGCTGCAGCCGAGTGACGTTGGTGTCATCGATGACCTTGCGGAGTCCGTGGATGTCACTCTCCACGGACTGGCGCATGACCAGCTCTGTCTCATACCTGTGGGGGCGGGGATGGTCAGAGGGGCCTCTCCGATCCAGAACCTGCTCAACGCACACCACCTCCTAAGAGCAGCCATGTGAACCAGCCCCAGCCGAGCCAGCGGTCAGGCGGTGGCCTTCTGAGCGCCGCGGCAGCCGGAGGACACTGCCCGTCAGCGGAGTTACGTGAGATCAATTCATGGAGTCTCATGCGTCCACCGGCAGCTGAATCCACCCCGCTATGAGCTGCCACCTGCCCCAGCCCTCCTGGGACCTCGCTGCCACCCGGCTCCCTAGCCCCGGGCTTACTTGACTCTGAAGTCATCAGCAGCCAGCCGGGCATTGTCAATCTGCAGGACGATGCTGGCATTGTACACGGAATTTGTATAGATCTGGGGGTTTGTGGAGAAAGGTTACGTGGTGAACAGGAAGTTGGCGACGGGGCGGGCCGAGTGTCTCCACAGCACCTGCTGGGCCCTGGCACAGCCCGGACTCTCCCGCCCCTTCCTCCTGTGCCCTGACGCTGTCCCCTCCTTTCCTGGCGTCCCAGGTCCTGCTGTTCCTCCAGTCTCCCACTGCTGGCCAGCCTGGCTGGAAGAGAGCAGCTACCAAGTTGTCTCCCTGGCCGGCACCTGGCGGTTCTTCTGAGTGGACCTGCTCACCACCCTCTCTGGGCCCCCCACCCCCGAAACCGGCCCCTCCCACAGGCAGGCGTCCTGTTTACTCCTAGATGACTCAGCCTTAGGTACATCCGCTTAACCCTCCAAAACCCTGCAACTGTCGGCCCCTGGCCAGAAGGCCTCTGGTCTGCTTTCACCTCCCCTTCCCTCTTGCTGGGTACACCCCTCCCCTTCCCCACTCTCTGCTGGGAAGGGGCCCTCCCATGCCAGTCACCACCTTTGGGGGCCTGTGTATGTGGAAATCCCGGGCATTCCGACCCCCCTCCTGGGGCATTGGGGCGGGGTAGGGGTGGGGGAGGGAGCCCGTGGAGCCCACCCTTGAAAACTTCCAGTCCTTGGCTAGGAGTTCCTAAGGAGGGGCACGAAGAGAAAAGGGCGGGCTTACAGGGCTGGGGGGGGGGGCTCCCCCCTGACCCCTTACCTCTTCCTTTAGCTCCTTGATGATCTTCATGTAATGGCTCCAGTCTCTGACCTGGGGTCCCTTCTTCTCCATGTGCTCCCGGATCTTGCTCTCTAGCTTCTGGTTGTCAGACTCCAGGCTTCGCACCCTCTCCAGGTAGATGGCCAGGCGGTCGTTCAGTTCTTGCATGGTCTCCTTTTCGCCCTGGATGCTCCCCATGCCTGCCAGACCTCTGGCCACCCGGGACCCCAGGCCTCCGGACACCTGGCTGCTCCTGAAGCTGGTGTAGCTGGACTTGGAGATCCGGGAGCCAGAGCCCCCAGCGCCTGCGTAGACGCTGGCCGAGCTGGTGGCCGGCCGGAACCGCTGGCTGGGGGGCCGCACAGAGCCCAGGGACCGGTAGCTGGTGGACATGGTGGAGCGGGTGGTGTAGTTCATGCTGCTGGAGCGGGGAGGTGAGAGGCCAGCAATCAGGTTGGGGCTGCAGTAGGTTTCAGGTCTGCCAGCGCCACTGTTTTATCTCGAAGAGGAGGGGCCGACTGGCCCCGCCCCCAGCCCCGCCCCCCCAGAGCAATCTAGCCAGCTACCTGCCGGCCCTCCAGGCAGGTGAGGAGGCTCGCTGCCTCCCCAGGGGATGGATCGGCCCTCCCCAGCCCTCCCCCACTCCTGCCCAGACCACCCTCTGTGCCCTAGAAGGGGCTGGCCAGCTGGGCCCACGAGGGCACTGGTGGCTGTGGTTTCAGGCAGGAAATGAAGTGATTATACCCCCTACACCTGGCAGGGGGAGAATTTGAGGGTTTGGGAGATGAGCAAGTGGGATGGGAATTAGTCTCCACAGTCTGCCACCCACACTGGGGACCTTGGAACCCCAAGAGTCCTGGGGAGGAAAAGTTGAATACTAGAGAAGAGGGAGAGAAACCCAATCCTGAACCCCAAATCTACTCTTTACACGCTCGGCTCCCCACACTTGGCAGGCAGGCGTGCGTTTCCGGGAGTCCCCGCCGGTCAGCCGATGTGTGTGAGACCCACACACATTCACTCACCGAACTCGATCAGACTCCTGAAAACAATCTCTCTCTGAACGCCCTTCCCACTTCTCCCCACTGCAACTCACTCCCAGGGGGCCTGGCCTTGCAGAACAAGTAGCTGTTTGAAAAGGGGCCGCATGGCGTCCTCACTTGTGCTGGCTCTTCCGTCATCCTGGCCTCCATCTTTGGGCAGACACGCACTTCCTGAGCTCTTACAGTTCAGTAAATATTTTTTGGCCACGACTGTGTGTCAGGTCCTGTTCGACTTGTGGCAAAACATCTATGAATGAAAGAGACCAGAGTCCCTCCTGGACATTGTAATGTGGCCCCTGGGGCCTGGGGCCTGGGGCAAGCACACAGACATTTGACCAGACCCCGTCCTGGTGGCCAGCCCCTCCCCACCTTACTGGGACATTTCTTGGGGCTCCCTGCATGGGGCTCTTTCCACCCCCGGCCTCTCTCCAGGGGGCCACCTCCTCCAGGGCATGGTTAAGAGGGATAGAGGTATGGGGAGGTTCCCAGTACTCCCTGCACCCCTGAAACTGGGTGACCACCTCCTGTGGGGAGGGGGGTTCAGTACAGGGACCTCAGATTGGTTACCACCAGCAGCTGGCCTGTCTGGCAGGATCTGGCTGGCCCTGGATCTATGCTCTTGCCCTGGAGTGGACCTATTGGTTCTCACTGAGCTGCCAGCTGAACTGGAGCCATGGGGGAAGACAGGCGAGGAGGCCTGGGAGGGCAAGGGACCAGCGAGTGGGTCAGCCAGGGGGAGGTGCGGCTCAGGTGGGAGGTGGGGGGGGGCTCGTCTTGATTGTCCCAGGCCTGCCAGTCTCTGGTGGGGACAGCCTCTGTATACTTTCATTTTCTTAAAGATTTATTTACTTATGCCTACAGAACTGGAGTACAGGCCAGAGGTGCAGGGGCAGTGAGAGGGTTCACAGAGACAGAGTGGGGAGCAGAAAAGTAGATTGATGAAGCACACTGCTGAGGGGAGCAGCGGGGGAGACAGGAGAGGTCTGCCAAGCCATGTGGGTCCTGTCCCTGGCCCGGAATTAAGCTGAAGTGGCCGTGGCTGGTTCACAGTGCTGCGCTTTAACCTGTTGCGCCACCAGGGAGGACCCTAGCTTCTCTATACTTAAGGAAGCCAGCCAGAGGCAGGTCAGGGCGGGAGCTGGCCAGGGGCAGGAGCTGGCCTGAAGGCCAGAATGCAAATTGGATGCAAAATAATATACAAATAAATGCCACTCATTTTGCAATGGAAGTTTCTGGGCAATCAGAGGTGTCAGCCAACCAGATTCCTCCTCCTTCCATCTTCACACTCCCCTTCCCACCTCCCCAGTGGCTTCTAAAATTGTCATGTTGTGCAGAATTGCACAATGAAGAATGTATTCAACATGTGATGCGTTGTCTTCGCTATTTTTGCTAAGCTCGGAGTTATCCAGCTTGGGTCCTCTAGGGAAGGACGAAACTGAACTTCAGCCTTTCAGTTTGCAGAGGAACAATGAGCCCAACCAGCCTATCTCCTTGCGTGGCAACGCGTGGAAACCATCACTCAGTTATTCACCGAATGGATACTGGTTACTGCAGAGTAAGACCCCAACACATCCAGGGGGCAGAGGTGGGGGGTCAGTTTAAAGGCGAAGATGACACAAATGCATTAGGTTTCTTGTCACTGGCGGCCTCTGAGGGACTTTGAATTCCACCGGGGATTGGGTCCAGATCCCAGGATTCTTAACAAAGCTCCTTTCCAGATTCTTCTATGATCCTACCCCACTTCCAGCTGCTTGGAACTTCAGGGGCCTGTGGAGGCTCAGTTTGGGGGCCTTATCTCCCGCAGCTGATATCGAGGTCACATTCCTGACCTCTTGCAGCACAGGGCAAATGCTGACCTCAGGCTCCAGCACCAGCCTGCTCTCCTCCACGTCCAGATCCCTCAGTGTGCGGAACCTTTCATTCAGCCTGAGAACCTGGCTGAGCTGGGGAAGAAGGAGACGATTCCCAGCACTGGGACTTGGCGTGGGTGGGAGACTGGCCTGAGAGGGGATGAGTGTGAGGTGGGTCCCGGTCCCGGTCCTGGTGCCGGTCTGGGGAGAAGCTGGAGCAGGAGGAGCCTTGGGGAGCGGCTCTGGGGACAAAGACAGATAGATGCACTGTGGAGTCAAGTGGCTCAGTGGTAGGGAGCCCTGAACCGGGGGAATGGCTCCCCGCCCCCAAACTTGCCTTGGACTCTCGTATCTTGTATCTTGCTGACCGGAGCCAGAACTTGAGAGGCAGGTTTAACTCTTGAGTCAACTCAGTGATGGCCCTGATAAGGGTAGGTCAGCCCTTCCCCACATTCTCCCAGAGAAGGCTGGAGCCCACTGCTCTGGGGAAACAAGATGGTGGGAGATTGGTAGATTAGGGAAGATTATGAGGTCCTGAAACCCGTCAGGTTTTGCTTTATCATGTAGGCTGGAAATTTCTGGCTCAGCCCTGAGGAGGGAGGCATTTAGAATAGCAACTGAGGTGTGAGGGTGGGTGGGGGGTGTCTTTAGCTTATATGGGGAGGGGCTGATCCCCATCATCTTGTTAAGAGTGACTCCTGAAAGGACTTCCCCGGGGTGTGGGGGGTGTGCTGGAGGAAGGGAGAGGCCTGGTGCTGGCAGGGGCCGGAGGCAGCCAGGCGGCCAGTGGATGACCCCCCCCCAGCAACCCTGGGGGTCAGTGAGGTCTGGGGTGGGGGTGCTGCCCAGTGGGGGCAGAGCCATAGAGGAAGGGAAAGAAGGAGGGAGAGGTGGGAAGGACCTCTGGGGCACAGGGAGGGTGTGCTGAGCCCTAAAACTGGCATATAGGGGAGCTCTGAAAATTATTTTGATTTTAAAAACTGAATGAAAAGGGGGTGCTGGTTGAGGCTGGAGTCCAAGAAACGTGGCCAGGGATCCTGAGGAGAGAGAGGGGAATAGGCTGTGGGGGCAGGTGGGGTCATGGGGGTTGCAGCTGAATGGGGGTTGGCCCATTCTGAAGCTCTCCAGGCTTCGGCTGCTTCTCTGGAGGAGGCCCTTCCCCCACGGAGGCCTGGTGCCCTCTGTCCGGCACGGAGCGGGGACGGCTTCCGGGATCCGGCAGCTCCTTCACCTCAGAGTGGGAGGCTCAAAGAATGCTCTGGTATCATTGCTGCCATTGCACTCGGACCACGGGTTTGTCCCCGGGGACAAGGCTTGGAACGCTGAGCTCCCAGGAGCGTGTGGCTGCCAGGCACCTTCAACCCTGCAGCGTGGCGAGGAGTCCAGGGCCTCTGGCCCTTCTGTGGGTCCCCTCAGCTCCCTGGGCTGCCCCGCACCCTCCCTGGCCAAACCAACTCTGTGCCCTGGGGTGTCCTCTCTGGTCCTTATGCCCAGGCGACTCTGGCGCTCCGGCTCAGCTCAGGTTCTTCAGAGCTGTCCGTGGCCTCTCTTCAGGCCACGGAGGCGGGTCATGGCGCTCGGTACTGAAAGACCTGGGCTCAAGCCCCGCCGTGATCTAGGGCCACGTTCCATCACCTTGCGCTCCTCCGCTGCACACGAAGCTGTATCTACTCGAGAGTCTTCATGAGGGTCAAAGAAGGCTCTGACCCCCGCAGCGGCCCGTGGGCTTGCTGCCTTGCCACGGCCCTTTTATTTTGTCCTCACTCCCCTCAGCCTTCTGCTCCACACATCACCAGTTCTTTCCTTTCAGCCTGGCACAGGGCAGGGTTTGCTGTGACTGAGTCTGTGGAAAAGAGGCTGACGTGGAAGACCGCATGGCCGATCTCAGAATTACCCCTCTGCGGCCACGGCTCTCCCTTTGGCTTTGAGCTTGGCAGATTTACCAGCCCGTCTGAGAAACTGTCCTGTGAGCAGCTAGAAAATCAAGACTACAGCTTGGGAGAGAAATAGGGCATGGGGTTCAGAGTGCAGAAGCCCCTTGGACCTTTGCTCAAACTAGAAAAACTGCCCTGATCCCTGTGCTCAGAGCAAACGGCCAAGCTTGTGTTTCTGACAGTCACTGACCTAGAGGATTTGGGGAGAGCCGGTGCGGGTGAGTGGTCTGGGGAAAAGGATCAGACAGAAGTGGGTGCAGCCTGATGGAGGGAGAAAAGGCTAGAAAAGGAGACCAGGGAAAGAAGGGGAGGCCGACTCTGGTCAGCTCCACGGAGGGAGGGGCCGGGAGTGGGGAGAGCTGGAGGGAGAAGGTCAAGGAGAAGGAGGGCTGAGGAAGCGGCCTTCGAGGAGCTGAGCACTGAAGAGCTCGCCAGGAAGGGACGAGCTGGAGCAAGGTGGTGAATGTCGAGGTTCAGGACTTCAGGTGTGGAGGCAGGGTAGACTTTTCTCCCAAGGGGCTTGTCGGGGAGTCCCGCCTGGAGGCCTAGGGCTAAGTCTCAGCACCATCAGCACAACCACCTGAGCTCATCCCTGCCGGGGAGGGACCC